CACTCGCAATTTACGACTAGTTACGCCACAGGTACCCCAAGCTCCCGAGTGAGAGTCGTTGTTGCGTAACAGAAATCAGAAATATTATAAAGGTTGGTTAGGGGATTTTAGCGATAGTTAGTCAGGGCACTAAAATAAAAAATAAAAATACATCAAAACTTCTTACCTTGCCTGCTTGTTTTATTCATGGTATGATCCTAGCATTTCTGGCCATTTCAGCGCGATTCTAGCGAGTTTTAGTTCTGCTCTCTCTATGCGAATAAAACAAGGAGGCAAGGTGAGACGTTTTGATTTATTTTCATTTCTATTTTCGTGTTCTAAATAATGATCGCTAAAATCCCCATACAAACCCACATAATAGTTCTCTTACGTAACAACGATTTTCTTTCTTGAGCTTGGGGTACCTGTGATTATTTGCTACTTCCTCCGTTTCCTATTAATCCTAAAAAAGCCTCTACTATCCAAATTTCAATCATCATTTGGTGCACCTGTACGCTTTCTCCTGAAGTAGTGGGGAGCAGTTGTTGAAGTACCACCACGTTGTATCATACATATGATCATGCCCTTAAATCTTTTCACCAATCTGCTTTAAAAAGCATCGATATTGGTGATGCTGAGGTGTTATACCTTTGACAAGCAGAACTGGAAGGGCAAAATGTCAGAGAAAAAGTTCATATCAAATTGAACCTTGAGTCGGCGCACAAGTTATATAATTATTGTAACGCGATATGACTTACCGCTTCTTTAAGAGCTAATTACATGGAAATTGCTGAATACTACAAAAAACGCATTTACACAAACAATACATTAACCCACTGAAAGCCCTGCGAATTATTTGTTGCCTCATAATGAGTGTGACCTGGCAAAAAACAGGCGTGGAGCCGGAGGGTGTAACTTAATATTACAGATTAGAAGCATCTGTTGAATTAGTTTAATTTTTCCGATGGATTTAACCCGTTTTTTTTTTAATTTTTATTTATTTATTTATTTTTCTCAAGCATGATAAAGCATGTTTCAAGTACAAACATTTCTGTCATCTTAACAAAAGCTGAATTTTTGCAATCTACGTTCGCATCATTTGATTCACTCGTCCTTCATTAGTCGGGATCACGAGACATAGAACGGTTGAGTTTTTTCCTTATTATTACATTGCACATCCTTACTACTTATAATTACAGGCATCAGATGATTAGACCGCTCACATTATCAAAACATGGCGCCTTTTGCCTTGAGGCTGGCGCTCCCTAGAGAGATAAATCTTCATTTTCTTTTAACCGAGTATGGTGGTCTATCATTTTGTAAATTTCTCTTTTTTTAAGATGAGCACTAATCTTCTTTCTGTGGAATAAACATACACTTCTAGCAAGACTGTGGAGAATATGAAGTTTAACTAATCTTCTTGTTTATTCGTTTTTCTGAGGCTTCTAGGAAGGGCTTTAACTTCAGGGGCACCCAACGACGGTTCCCTCCCACATACATTGAAAACACTTTTTAGGCTATCGACGGTACTTTTAGATATCTAGAAATGCATTCTAAGCGGTGCTATAAAATTTGTATCTAGCGAAAGACAGAAAGAAAGCAAATGACACCAACCCAAACTGAAATTTTAAACACTAATTTTCTTACATAAAAAAAAAAAAAGAAAGTAAGTAAGTATGGTGCCCTACGAGGAGAAACTTGAAATGCTCAGTCCATCATTATTATCAGCTCGGCTGGCAATTATTAAAGGTCGACTTATGGATTACAAGAAAAAAAATAAACAGACATCTCGTTAATTGCCCAGCTTGGCAAGACGTTGAATTGAACTCCCCCGCGCGGTGAGGCCCGTGTCCGTAACCAATGCGTGCGTGTGTTGTTGATGAACAAAGCCGGTGATTAGCCTTAGAACAGTTTTTGGCTAGAAAGAAGAATAACAAGGCGAAAATAGTCGACCACCATGACTTTTGGAACTATAATCAAAGAATGACGGAATCTGGAGGTCTCTTTACATCGCGCGCCGTGACCTGTATCTTTAACGCCTTTTTGTCTTACACTGCCATCATGTTGAACATTTTAACAATTCTGGCGCTGAGAAAGACTTTTTCTTTGCCCAAGCCTTTAAAAACACTGCTTTTGAGTTTGGCCGTTTCTGATCTTGGAATCGGTTTGGTTGTCCAGCCTTTGCATATATCACGTCTTGCCATGGAGTTGCAAGCAGACACTGACAGCAACTCGTACCATAATATTTGCAGCGCAATACACAAAACAGGCGTTGTTTTCTTTTATGCTTCTTTCCTTGGTGTTTCAGCCCTTACTGTGGACCGATTCTTGGCGATTCGTCTTCATCTCCGATACAATGAACTTGTGACCCACAGGCGTGTCGTTGTTCTTGTGATCCTGATTTGGCTTTTCAGTGCTTTTACTTCGATGGCTAGTGTCTGGATTCCAAAAACTGTAAGAGTCGTCTTTGCTGTAGCTATTGTTGCTCTTTGCTCCATAGGTACAGTATATTTTTATTGCAAGATTTGGTTAGTGGCGCGACGCCACAAAACTCAAATCCAAACACTTCAAGCCGCACACGGCATCTCTCAACGTGACAGAACATCTGATTCACATTTCTTGAACTCTTCTTTGAAGGCTGCGCGAGTTTCATTTTTGGTGAACCTAATTTTTGTGGCTTGTTATTTACCAAATACCCTTGCAATTGCTACGGCTGCAAAAGGTAGCAATGAACAATCCGGGGTGGTAGAACATTTGTCTCTCTATACTTTGACATTGTTGTTTCTTAATTCTTCCCTCAATCCTCTGATTTACTGTTGGAAGATGAGACATATTCGATACGCCATCAAAAGTATTCTTCGGGAAATTTTGAAATTATTTAATAACAATAATTAATGGATAAATATCAACCAAAATAATTAATAACAATGTTAATACCTGTACACACCGGTTCCGTTTTTTTTTTTTGCGAGAAGGCCAAATAAAAGATATATGGCCCCACGTAAAGTAATCCAAGACAGTCTGAGACTCTGAAACCTTAAACTCATTAATAATTCGTAAACAAAATACAAATGACATTAATGTTTAATGAGTGTTTGGAAATAAAATGAAAAACTGCTCAAAATCCTTTTGTTTGAGAAGTAATATCAAGCATTCGACAGTGTTTCATCACCAGATGAAACACCTCGAAGTTCGTCAAAAATATTCCGGCGTAGACTTCAAGCAAAACTGATGGAGAATACGAAGTTAAACTAAATATTTTCGTTTATTCTTTTTTCTGAGGCTTCTAGGGAGGACTGTAATTTTTATTTTGTGCTAACGGACACCATTTGACCAAACAAAATGTGAAAAACATACAAGATAACGCACACCACCTTTAAACGACGAATGTTTATTGGAAATGGACTTTTAATATAATTGCCTTGACGTTCAGAGGTTTTCAAATTTTTAAAAGTCCAAATTTACCCCAGTTTGCAACATGTTTCAAAACGTCAGCAATAAGGTTACATCATGTGAGTTTTAGGACCTTTGTTCGATCCTTATAATTAAGCAGTTCCTTGTTGCATCTTTCAAGGCCATCTGGACTCCGGTTTTGAACACCTCTAAGAAGAGGCGTTCATGGAGGGAGAGAGTCCTTCATCCGACGTCTTCCTCATAAACGTAAACTCATTTAAGAAAGCATGCCTTCCTGACTCCCCTTCCTTTCTCTTGGAAAAAAGGAGGTTATAATACACAATGGAAGAGGCAGGAGATTTCTATCCCTGCCTCATCATAAACGTAGTAGTCAATTTCTTCTCATGTTACACAACAATCATGTTGAACATTGCCTTAATATTCGCCCTTCGAAGGTCTTCATCACTGCCAAAGACTCTAAAAGCATTGATCCATAGCTTGACTGTTTCTGATCTTGGTATTGGATTAGTTGCCCAGCCTTTGCACATCGCTCACATGCTTATGCAAATACCACAAACTGACGACAAGGCAACTTCTAAAGACATAGATAGAGCCCTGCGTCTCATAGGACGCACCCTTGGTTATGCTTCATTCTTTGGTGTCACAGCTATCAGCGTTGACAGATTCGTGGCTATCCACCTTCACCTCAAACACCAGGAACTTCTCACCTACCAAGAAATTGTGACTTACAAGCGTGTTGTAGCTGCAGTAATCTTAAGCTGGATTCTCAGTGCTTGCCTAGCCCTAACCGATGTTTTGAGCAGCAAAAATGTTAGTGACCTTGTAGGGATGACTGTGGCCTTTGTTTGTCTCCTTACTATGGCTCTAATCTATTTCAACATTTCCACAGTTGTACGTCGCCACAACGTTCGAGTTAATGCACAGCCAGCCCAAGCAGTGGCACAAAACGAAGAAAGTCACTCAAATTTCGAAAGACTGAGAAAAACAGCAGTTGGTACATTTTATGTATATCTGTTGATTTTGGCCTGTTATTTGCCAATGACTATTGTGATCCTGACCGGACGACAGAAGAATAAGATGAAACATTTGTTGATTTACGCTCGGACGCTGTTATATTTGAGTTCATCCCTCGTTCCTCTGGTTTACTGCTGGAAGTTTAGACACATCCGATGCGCTATCAAGAATATTCTGCGCGACATATTCGCAAGTCAGAATCAGATTCAGCAAGGCTAAACTGTATGTCTATCTGTTGTTTTTGGCCTGCCATTTGCCAATCGTTATTGTGATCCTGGTCGGACAGATGAATAAGATGAATTTCAAAGAACATTTCTTAATTTACGCTCAGACGCTGTTATATTTGAGTTCATCCCTCATTCCTCTGGTTTACTGCTGGAAGTTTAGACACATCCGATGCGCCATCAAGAACATTCTGGGCAACATATTCGCAAGTCAGAATCAGATTCAAGAAGGTTAAATTTTGCTAACTTAATTCAGCCTTTGAAAAATGACATGACCTTCCTAGTCTGTATACGCATCGTGCAAGAAGTTATAACGGTTTTCCTGTGTTATATTTAAACGATAGACCTAAACATTTGTTTGTCTCCCGATTTATTCGTTCCTGATGGCCTTATTAGTCCTTTATTACATATAAAAACGTCAAACGTACTGTAACTTTTGCTATTCGATTTGTATTATAAATTGCACTTTTATTTGGGTGACAAAAAAATTGGCAGAAGTTAGAACTTTAATCTAAAAACAATAGTATGCAGATAGCCTCGTACACCTGTAGCCTATAAATTGAAAATTCTTAGTTTTCTATAATTATCATTTTTGAATGACATACGTGTATAACAGTCTGACTTAAGGTAGAATTTTCTGGCAAATCGATTACGAAAATATTAATTTTAAATTAAGAAAGAATGATGCACGACTTGTTATGTAAGTATTAGTTTTATCTAATGCAGGAAAGATCATGAAGAGCAATCAACGTCATCATCCTTAACCGTTTAAACCCTAGGATCAAAATTAAAATTCTCCTTAGTCGCCCCTATTCATTTACTATAGAAGTAGTGAGGAGAAGATGATAAAATATCAAGCAAATGCATACTGTGTGATGATGTCCTAAATTCTCAGCTAAAGGCCTCTGGATATCAGATAAAACACTAAATGTTGTGTTTGATACAGCTTCTTCTTGAAGAAATTCAAAGCAATAAAAGTCCGCAAAATTTTCTCGTAGTTAATTTTCTCCAACCTCCGTTAAGGTAATGATTTCCTTGTTTTTGTTTTCTTTTCTTGAATTATTAATAAGCTTAGGAATACTCAATCAACCTCGTTCTCCTTCGACAGAGGAAGTCGAGTTTAAGGACTCTGGAAACGAGGTCGTTAGCCAGACCACTGCAATAATTCACACGTCACCCCAAGGGTTGGGGAAATGAAACAATAGGAATCACCTGGAAGTTCAGTCATGAATAAATATATATCCTTTGTTTTATTGCCCCAAAACTCTGAGCCTGTAAAGACCACGAACACTTGCATTTTCAATGAAACAGTTTGTTTTATAATTGACACAAGGATCAATTTCTTTTTCTTTTAGGGGTAAAATACAAAAGAAGTTTAAGTTATTTTTGCTTTTATCGAAGAGCAAAAATTTATATTGTCTTGTGTTTGCTGTGAGATTTCTAACACATCAGTAGCAGTGCTATTTCATATCATGATATGGCGCTGAAAAGACAATTAATTTTTTTTCACAAGGCAGACGATTACAAAATCATTCGGTCATTGGCTTGAAGGCAGATAAAACATTTTAGAATGGTTAATGAAGCCACGTAGATTAACTGCAACTAAAATCGAAAATTAAAATCCAGCTTGATATAACCCCGCACCACAAGCAATTTACGACTAGTTACGCCACAGGTTCCCCAAGCTCCGAAGTGAGAATCGTCGTTGCGTAACAGAAATCAGAAATATTATAAGGGTTGGCTAGGGGATTTTAGCGATAGTTGGTCAGGGCACTAAAATAAAAAATAAAAATACATCAAAACTTCTTACCTTGCCTGCTTGTTTTATTCATAGTATGTTCCTAGCATTTCTGGCCATTTCAGCGGGATTCTAGCGAGTTCTACCTCTGCCGTTGTCCACCTGTTCTCTCTATGCGATGCTAAGACCATACCATGAATAAAAAAGGGAAGCAAGGTAAGACGTTTTGATGTATTTTCATTTCTATTTTAGTGGCCTAAATAACGATCGCTAAAATCCCCATATAAACTAATATAATAGTAGTTCTGTTACGTACGTAACAACGATTTTCTTTCGTGAGCTTGGGGTACCTGCGATTATTTGCTGCTTCCTCCGTTTCCTATTAACACTAAAAAAGCCTTTAATATTCAAATTTAAACCCTCATTTGGTACACCTGTACGTTTTCTCCGGAAGTGGTTGAAAGAAAGTAATTATGGTGCCTTACGTGGAGAAACTTGAAATGCTCAGTCCATCATTATGATCAGCTCGGCTGGCCATTAAAAAAAAAATAAACAGACATCTCGTTAATTGCCCAGCTCGGCAAGACGTTGAATTGAACGCCCCCGCGCGCTGAGGCCCGTGTCCCTAACCAATGCGTGTGTTGTTGAACACAGCCGGTGATTAGCCTTAGAACATTTTTTGGCTAGAAAGAAGAATAACAAGGCGAAAATAGTCGACCCCCATGACTTTTGGAACTATAATCAAAGAATGACGGAATCTGGAGGTCTCTTTACATCGCGCGCCGTGACCTGTATCTTTAACGCCTTTTTGTCTTACACTGCCATCATGTTGAACATTTTAACATTTCTGGCGCTGAGAAAGACTTTTTCTTTGCCCAAGCCTTTAAAAACACTGCTTTTGAGTTTGGCCGTTTCTGATCTTGGAATCGGTTTGGTTGTCCAGCCTTTGCATATATCACGTCTTGCCATGGAGTTGCAAGCAGACACTGACAGCAACTCGTACCATAATATTTGCAGCGCAATACACAAAACAGGCGTTGTTTTCTTTTATGCTTCTTTCCTTGGTGTTTCAGCCCTTACTGTGGACCGATTCTTGGCGATTCGTCTTCATCTCCGATACAATGAACTTGTGACCCACAGGCGTGTCGTTGCTCTTGCGATCCTGATTTGGCTTTTCAGTGCTTTTACTTCGATGGCTAGTGTCTGGATTCCAAAAACTGTAAGAGTCGTCTTTGCTGTAGCTATTGTTGCTCTTTGCTCCATAGGTACAGTATATTTTTATTGCAAGATTTGGTTAGTGGCGCGACGCCACAAAACTCAAATCCAAACACTTCAAGCCGCACACGGCATCTCTCAACGTGACAGAACATCTGATTCACATTTCTTGAACTCTTCTTTGAAGGCTGCGCGAGTTTCATTTTTGGTGAACCTAATTTTTGTGGCTTGTTATTTACCAAATACCCTTGCAATTGCTACGGCTGCAAAAGGTAGCAATGAACAATCCCGCCGGGTGGTAGAACATTTGTCTCTCTATACTTTGACATTGTTGTTTCTTAATTCTTCCCTCAATCCTCTGATTTACTGTTGGAAGATGAGACATATTCGATACGCCATCAAAAGTATTCTTCGGGAAATTTTGAAATTATTTAATAACAATAATTAATGGATAAATATCAACCAAAATAATTAATAACAATGTTAATACCTGTACACACCGGTTCCGTTTTTTTTTTTGCGAGAAGGCCAAATAACAGATATATGGCCCCACGTAAGGTAATCCAAGACAGTCTGAGATAATTCGTAAAGAAAATACAAATAAAATTAATGTTTAATGAGTGTTTGGAAATAAGATGAAAAACTGCTCATTTTTGCATCCTTAATTTCTCCTTCTAAAATCCTTTTGTTTGAGAAGAAATATCAAGCATTCGACAGTGTTTTATCACCAGATGAAACACCTCGAAGTTCGTCAAAAATATTCCGCTGCGCGTCGTATTTTCACCTCTCTTCTCCGTGTTTAGCTGTGTTTCATCTGGTGATGAAATACTGCGTCTCATTCTTGATATTTTACTTCAACTATAGTAGCCTTTCATCAATGCTTACTGATTTGAATTGGCCTTCACTGCAGTCAAGGCCCAGGATATGCGGTCTCGGCATGTTTTATAAAATACATTGAGGTCAAGTCAACATCTTCTTTCCCTATGACCTTATCTCCATGCCTGCATATGGCCGTACAAGGGCCAGTCACGACTTTAAGATCAGACTCCCATCCTCTTAAGTTGACGCTTACAAACGCTCTTTTTATGTAAGAGCAATCCCCGTATGGAACGCGTTGTCAGCTGACGTTGTTAGTTCTTCATCGTACCCAGAATTCATCCCAAGAGTGTCTGCTAATTCAACATAATAATGTAATTTACATCGTTGGTTTTTCATTTTTTCGGATACCATGTAATTGAACGACCGCTGGCCGCTCCATTGCCGGATTAGCATTATTTGTAACGCTAGTGGTAATTACCATGATTAAAGACTAAAGATTACAGCAAGGAGCCCAAAAGTGTGACCGCTTTTAATTTATTCACTTTCTTTCGTGCAGGTTTAATCCAGTCAGAAGCCAGCTGGAAACTGTCCTCGACTTCCGATTGGTTAATGTCTGCATGAAAGAATGTGAATTATTTAAAAGACGTCACACTTTTGGGTTCCTTGCTGTAAACTGACAAGGAATCCGGAGTCCATTACCTGGAATCAAATTAATCTACAGCATGGAATCCAGAACACAAGACTGTTTTGGATTACCTCTGATACATGGGGCGAATCATGGACCACATCTCTCTGAGGACGCAAGAAGACTGAAGACGGGAAAGAAGTAGTGATCATACTTGCAATGATCATGTGCATCATACATGTGAAACACTGATGGACTGTCTAGCAGAGTCACGCTATGGACGACTGAATATCTTTTACGTTTGGTCATTCCAGCGTCTGCGGAACTGACCAGATGGCGGGACAAAGTTAATGAGATTGATGAGGAAGTGCCAGAGAGAGATGAAGTACGTAACTGTGACTGTTCAAGACGTCACAGCTCGCCTGGGCAGGACACAACTTATTATTAGGCGTTCCCTCTTGCCCCAGTGTCCACTCGAAGTCTTTGAAAGGGTGGGCAAGAGAGCAAGTCTCGGAAAGATCCTTCTCGGTGACGTCACAGCCTACGTAGAGTCCAGGATTGACCGAGCCGAGAATGGCTAGGGAATGGGCTGAGCCGAACATCCTTCAAGAAAGGAGCGACTTAAGGGCATCTAGATATCAGATAAAACACTAAATGTTGTGCTTGATACAACTTCTCAATGAACAATAATTCTTGAAGAAATTCAAAGCAATAAAAGTTCGCAACATTTTGTGGTAATCAATATTTTCCAACCTCCGTTACGGTAATGATTTCCTTGTTTTTGTTTTGTTTCTTGAATTATTAATCAGCTTAGGAATACTCAACTGCTCAATCAACCTCCTTCTTGTTCGACGGAGGAAGTCGAGTTTAAGGACTCTGGGAAAGAGATCGTTAGACAGACCACTGCAATAATTCACACTTCACCCCAAGGCTTAGGGAAATGAAACAATAGGAATCACCTTCATGTTCAGTCATGAATAAATATATATCTTTTGTTTTATTGCCCCAAAACTCTGAGCCTGTAAAGACCACGAACACTTGCATTTTCAATAAAACAGTTTTATAATTAATACAAGGATCAACTTCTTTTTCTTTAAGTGGTACAATACAACAGAAGTTTCATTTATTTTTGCTTCTATCGAAGTGCAAAAATTTATATGGTCTTGTGTTTGCTGTGAGATTTCTAACACATCAGTAGCAGTGCTATTTCACATCATGATATGGCGCTGAAAAGACAATTAATTTTCTATCACAACGCAGACGATTACAAATCTTTCAGTCACTGGCTTGAAGGCAAAAAACATTTTAGAATGGTTAACGAAGCCACGTAGATTAGCTACAGCTAAAATCGAAAATTAAAATCCAGCTTGATATAACCCCGCACCACATGCAATTTACGACTAGTTACGCCACAGGTACCGCAAGCTCCGAACTGAGAATCGTTGTTGCGTAACAGAAATCAGAAATATTATAACGGTTGGTAAGGGGATTTTAGCGATAATTATTTAGGGGACTAAAATAGAAAATAAAAATACCTCAAAACTTCTTACCTTGCCTGCTTGTTTTATTCATGTATGTTCCTAGCATTTCTGGCCATTTCAGCGCGATTCTAGCGAGTTTTAGTTCTGCCGTTGTTCACCTGCTCTCTCTATGCGATGCTAAAACCATACCATGAATAAAACAGGGAGGCAAGGTAAGAATTTTTGGTATATTTTTATTGGCCTAAATAATGATCGCTAAAATCCCCATACAAACCCATATAATAGTTCTGTTACGTAACAACGATTTTCTTTCGTGAGCTTGGGGTTACCTGTGATCATTTGCTACTTCCTCTGTTTTCTATTACGTAACCCTTATGCAGAGTTAAAACCTTTAAATTTTAGGACGCGGACGAGATTAAACTTATAGTTTGTTCGCGTATTCTCAAACAAAATGTTCATCCCGGAAAGCTTCACTGTTTTGTTTTGTTTTGTTTTGTTTTTGTTTTTGTTTTTTCACCAGAAAGTTAACAAGATTCGTTTTATTAAAAGAGGTTAAGCTCTCTTCCGATCGCAAACTGATAAAGCTTCTATTATTTGCTTACTTATCTCCGTCACTGCGACATTCTCGCTAAAAATCGTAGTAGAATGACGACGGTCATCATTCGACCTAACGACAAGTCTACGCTTGACTTTTTGACACATAACGAAAAAAAGGGAACAAATTTTAAAAAGAGGGCTGCCCATACGAGCAAAACCTCGTAGGTCCTTGTGGCTGAAATTTTTGACATTTGCTTCCGCAGGTAATACCGACAATGGATGGTTTGGAAGGACTTCGTGCATTCAAAGAAAAGAGAACACCGCAATACACGGGAGAATAAGAAAGCCATTTCTTTATTTAATTTCAAAAATTAATAAAGAAATCGACTCACGATACCGAAGCATTCAGAAGTTTCCTAAAGCCATGGGCTTTAAAAATGGATCTTAATTGTTTTGAGAAAACAAATTGCACCAACTCAAAGTGAAATTTTTAAAACTATTGGCGTCGCTGTTTTTAAAAGAAAGTAATTATACTTCCCAAACCGAAGACACCTATTAAAATGCTCACCATTGGCTTGGCTAATAAGTCGGTTTATCCCATTTAGGTCGACTCATAAATAGCAAGATAAAGCAAAGAGACATCTGTTTATTTGCTCAGCGTGGCAAGACACGGTACCTCTTCGCTTGGCCAGCGAGTTGCGCGTGCAACCAACCCCCAACATTAATCCAGTAACAATCAGTTTTATTCCCAATTTATATCGAGGAGCTATTTACATGTATTATAAGGCTCATATTGACAATGTACTGTAAGCTTACATCTACTAGAAAGCTCGCATTTCCTGAAATCAATTCCATAAAAGATGAAACAGTCGATTATTGTGTACTATGTTATCTGCTAATATCCCTAGTAAGTCCTTTTAAAATATACTCGTTCGATTGAAAACCCATTTTACAATTAGGAGATGAGTTAAGAGATGAGTTTAAGAAGACGAGAGTTGGATATACAAGAGACGCTATGAAAGAAACCTCAAGGTTGGCAAGAACGTTATTCAACAGTAATATCGCATTTACAATAACAAATGGGATATAGCATACAACTAACGCCGACTGCACCAAACCTATGCTGGTAACGGTTCTTTTAAACTGTGCTATGCGCAACGCCGGAATTCCCCCTCCAATTGGTTGCCCATGATGGTGAACATCGCATTGCCCAGTAGGGTGCACAGTAGGGTGCACAGTAGCTTGATGTAGACGCAGCTTGATAAATATGATGGTGGAAGAAAGAAGTGAGGTAACGATACAAAGCATTACCGAGACTGAAATTGCTGTCAAGGCGATGTTTGTATCCCAGACCAAGAACATGAAAATGCCCAAAACAGGACTTAACCAAAAGCAGAAAACAACTGCACGAGCTCGCTTCAGTGTCACAACGTGCCTGTACCGTAGCTTCAACAAGAGGGCGAGAGTCTGTCCACACTTAGAGCAGTCGTTGTGAGCACGGAAACTCCAGAAAGACAAATTGATAAAGCCCAGGTTATATCGTGGAGAATAGAGATGATATTCCAAAGGTTGAAGTTTATCAGAAAGATGAAGATGGCATAGAGTGGCTGCGAAATGAGACCAACGCCAAGATCAGTGATCGCCAGGCATTGAAACAACAGTTTCGTTGGTGAATGAAGAGAAGTTACCTTGCGAAGAGCAATCAGGATCAGAATGTTGCCCACCGATGCCGTGATGGAAAGAAGAATATTAAGAGAGCAAAATATGATCACTGTCGCCAGATTAAATACCTCGGAAGAGATAGCGTTTCTATCTTCGGTTGAGTTTCCCATCTAAAGGGCGCGACTGCCTTTCAGTTATATATGCTGTACTCTCATAATAACAAATATTGGGCCAGTAGGCTAGAAAACCGTCCTTTATGACTTTTCAGCCTTATTTGCTGATTATTCAAAGTGATAATTCAAAGTGACAATTATACGTCAGACGCCAAAATATTGTTTTGGTAGCAGTACAATACCATAGACGTTTAAAAAATTTACTTTTGCATTTATAGAAGTGCAAAAATAGTTTTGTGTTTGCTACGAGATTACAAAACATCACACTAGCAGTATTATTTCACATCATGATTTGGCGCTGACAAGACACTTAATTTTTTATCATAAGGCGGACAGTTAAAAAATCATTCAGTAATCGCCTTGAAGACAATGGTTGTATAAAACATTGTAATGAGAACAGTTAACGTAGCCACCGTGACATAGATTAACTTCCGCTGAATGTTAATCGCAAATTTTACATGTAAACTTCCAAATTCAGATGGATGTGACCCAGCGCCGCATACAATTTACGACTACATGTAGTTACATTTGCAAATTAATCATTTGCTACTTCTTCCGTTTCCTATTAACCTTAAAAAAGCCCCTAATATCAAAATTTAAATTCTCATTTCCTGCCCCGTTTTCCCTGAAGTAGTGGGGAGCAGTTGTTGAAGTATCAGCACATCATGTCTTTTTTGATCATACCCTTAATTCTTGTCACCAATATTGCAAGGAGAAATGTGATGCTGATCACTCTTGATTGGTTAAAAACGGAGGTGTTCTACCTTTGACAAGCAGAGTGACAAGCAATGTCAGAGAAAAGTTAATATCAAGATAAAAGTTAATGTCAGAGAAAAGTTAATAACAAATTTAACCTTGACAGCACACAAGTTATTGTAGCGTGGTATGACATACCGCTTCTTCACGAGCTTATTACATGGCGCCTTTCATCTTAAAGCTGGAGCTCCCTAGGGAGATAATCTTCATTTTTGTGCTAACGGACACCATTTGACTAAACAAAATGTGAAAAAAATACAGGATAACGCACGCCACCTTTAAACGACGAATGTTTATTGGAAATGGACTTTTAATATAATTGCCTTGACGTTCAGAGGTTTTCAAATTATTAAAAGTCCAAATTTACCCCAGTTTGCAACATGTTTCAAAACGTCAGCAATAAGGTTACATCATGTGAGTTTTAGGACCTTTTTTCGATCCTTATAATTAAGCAGTTCCTTGTTGCATCTTTCAAGGCCATCTGAACTCCGGTTTTGAACACCTCTAAGAAGAGGCGTTCGTGGAGGGAGAGAGTCCTTCATCCGACGTCTTCCTCATAAAAGTAAACTCATTCAAGAAAGCACGCCTTCCTGACTCCGCTCCCGTTCTCTTGGAAAAACGAAGTTATAATACACAATGAAAGAGGCAGCAGATTTCTCTCCCTACCTCATCATAAACGTCGTAGTCAATTCTTTCTCATGTTACACAACAATCATGTTGAACATTGCCTTAATATTCGCGCTGCGAAGGACTTCATCACTGCCAAAGACTCTAAAAGCATTGATCCTTAGCTTGACTGTTTCTGATCTTGGTATTGGATTAGTTGTCCAGCCTTTGTACATTGCTCGCATGATTATGCAAATACAACAAACTGACGACCAGGAAACTTCTAAAGATATAGATAGAGCTCTGCGCCCCATAGGACGCACCCTTGGTTATGCTTCATTCTTCGGTGTCACAGCTATCAGCGTGGACAGATTCCTTGCTATCCACCTTCACCTCAAACACCAGGAACTTCTCACCTACCAAGAATTTGTGACTTACAAGCGTGTTGTAGCAGCAGTGATCTTAAGCTGGCTTCTCAGTGCTTTCCTAGCCCTAACCGGTGTTTTGAGCGGTAGATATGTTTGTAACATTGCAGCGGTGACTGTGGGATTGGTTTGTCTCCTTACCATGGGTCTAATATATTTCAAGATTTACATAGCCGTACGTCGCCATGCAGTTCAAGTTCATGCACAGCCAGCCCAAGCAGTGGCACCGAACGAAGAAAACCGATCAAATTTTGAAAGACTGAGAAAAACAGCAGTTGGTACCTTTTACGTCTATCTGTTGTTTTTGGCCTGCCATTTGGCAATCGCTATTGAGATCTTGGAGACACGGAGAAATAAGGTGTGGGAACATATGTTAATGTACAGTAACACGCTGCTATATTTGAGTTCATCCCTCCTTCCTCTGGTTTACTGCTGGAAGTTTAGACACATCCGATGCGCTATCAAGAACATTCTGAGTGACATATTCGCAAGTCAGAATCAGATTCAAGAAGGTTAAATTTACTAACTTGATTCAGCCTCTGAAAAATGACATGACCTTTCTAGTCTGTGCACTCATCGTTCAGGAAGTTATAACAGTTTTCCTTTGTCATATTTAAACGATAGACCCAAACTTTTGTTTGTTTCCCGATTTATTCGTTCTTGATGGCCTTATTCGTCCTTTATTACATAGAAAAACGCCGAACGTACTGTAACTTTTGCTATTAGTCTTGTATTATAAATTGCACTTTTATTTGGGTGACAAAAGATTGGCAAAAGTTAGAACTTTAATCTAAAAACAATAGTATGCAGATAACCTCGTACACCTGTAACCTATAAATTAGAAATTCTTAGTTTTCTATTATATGATTATCATTTTTGAATGACATACATGTATAACAGTCTGACTTAAGGTAGAATTTTCTGGCGAATCGATTAATAAACCTCACGAAAATATTAATTTTAAATTAGCAAAGAATGATGCACGATTTGTTATGTAAGTATTAGTTTTAACTAATGCAGGAAAGATCATGAAGAGCGTTCAGCGTCATCATCCTTGGCCTTTACATTAAACCCTAGGATCAAAATTAAAATTCTCCTTTGTCGCCCCTATTCATTTACTATAGAAGTAGTGAGGAGAAGTTCGATCATAAAATATCAAGCAAATACATTCTGTGTGATCATGTCCTAAATTCTCAGCTAGGGACTACGCTGAGCCGAACATCCTTCAAGAAAGGAGCGACTTAAAGGCGTCTGGATATTAGATAAAACACTAAATGTTGTGTTTGATACAGCTTCTCAATGAACAATAATTCTTGAAGAAATTCAAGGCAATAAAAGTTCGCAAAATTTTGAGGTAATTAATTTTTTCCAACCTTCGTTACGGTAGTGATTTCCTGTTTTTGTTTTCTTTTCATGAATTATTAATGAGCTTAGGAATACTCAATCAACCTTGTTCTTGCTCGACGGAGGAAGTCAAGTTTAAGGACTCTGGGAACGAGGTCGTTGGCCAGACCACTGCAATAATTCACACGTCACCCCAAGGCTCGGGGAAATGACACAATAGGAATCACCTGGAAGTTCAGTCATGAATAAATATATATTTTTTGTTTCATTGCCCCAAAACCGTTGGGGCAACCGTTATTGTGTACCATGTTATCTGCTAATATCCCTAGTAAGTCCTTTTAAAATATACTCGTTCGATTGAAAAGCGATTTTACAATCAGACTGTTTCTCCATAAATCGGTCGCAGAGGTTTGGAACTCAGCGTAAACAATTACAATACAACTGTTTGATTGTGGCCTTTACGGCTTGCCTCACTTCTTTGATCCTCCAACAGTACAGGAACGGGTTAAGAGATGAGTTTATGCAGACGAGAGTTGAATATACAAGATTGGCGGCCATGTAGAAAACCTCACTGTTGGCAAGAACGCTATTTAACAGAAATATCGCATTTAAAATAACAAATGGGATATAGCATATAACTAACGCCTACTGCACCAAAGCTATGCTGGTAACGGTTTTTTTAAAGTGTGCTATCTTCAACGCCGGAATTCTCCCCCCGATTGGTTGCCCGGCTTGGTGAACATTGCATTGCATGAAGGTACACAGTAGCTTGATGTAGACGCAACTTGATAAATATGATTGTGTAAGAAAGAAGTGAGGTAGCGATACAAAGCATTACCGAGACTGAAATTGCTGCCAAGGCGATGTTTGTATCCCAGACCAAGAACATGAAAATGCCCAAAACAGGACTTAACCAAAAGCAGAAAACAACTGCACGAGCTTCCTTCAGTGTTACAACGTGCCTGTACCTTAGCTTCAACAAAAGGGCGAGAAGTCTGTCCACACTTAGAGCAGTCGTTGTGAGTACGGAAACTCCAGAGAGACAAATTGATAACCCCCAAGTTATATCGTGGAGAATAGAGATGATATTCCAAAGCTTAGGGTTGTAGTTTATCAGAACGACGTAGATGACATAGAGTGGCTGCGAAATGAGACCAACGCCAAGATCAGTGATTGCCAGGCATTGAAACAACAGTTTCGTTGGTGAATGAAGAGAAGTTACCTTGCGTTGAGCAATCAGGATCAGAGTGTTCCCCAGACATGCCGTAATGGAAAGAAGACTATTTTAAAAGGGTTATAGTCACTGTCGCCAGATTAAATGCCTCGGGGGAGATAGCTTTTCTATCTTCGGTTGAGTTTCCCATCTATAGGGCGCGACTGCCTTTCAGTTATATATGCTGTACTCTGACATAATAACAAATATTGGGCCGGCAGGCTAGAAAACCTTCCTTTAGGACTGTTTAGCCTTAATTGTTGATTATTCAAAGT